GTTCCTCCAAAAAGTTGGAAAGATAGAATTAGCATATAACCCAGAAATTGTACTTCCGAGTATATGCCCAAAAGAACTGAAAGCAAGGCCTCAGATGTATTTTTACACCCCTGTTCATAGCAACATTATTCACAATAGCCAAAAGGTGGAAGCAACCCAAGTGTCCACTGATGTTATTCTGAGTGAAATAAGCCGGTATCCAGAAAGCAAATATTGTATGATTCCATTTACATGAGGTCCGAAGAGTAGTAGCTGGAAAGTGGAATGGTGGTTGCCAGGGGCTGAGGGGATGGGGAACGAGGAGTTGCTGTCAAGGCGATAGAGAGTTTCAGTTTTGCAAGTGGATAAAAGAATTCTGGAGATTGGTTGCACCATCACGGGAATATACTTAACCACACTGAACTGTACACTTGAACGTGCTTATGATGAATAATTTGTATCACATATATTTTACCACAGTTAAACAAAAACCACACTAGAGACGGAAGTCTTGATCCTCAGAACAGCTGGTGCTATCTATGCCAAGCATCTTTATGTTAAAGCCATGGCACGGCCACTAAAGAGAAAGACCAGCTGTCCCCACTTTCGTGACCTAGAAATGCCAGATTGCTCCCATGATTCGGTCTCCACTGTGACAGGCAAAAGGCAACCGAGTAGCTTGTTCATGAAGATGGGACTCCGTCCCTGGTCACAAGTGACTCATGTCAAGGTCTGAGAAGATGACTGCCCCATTTATATGACAAGGAACAGCTAGCTCTTTAAACCTATTTCCAACTCTTTTTTCACAAACATAACATTCTCCCACAAAGCTCCACAGCGACAGAGCACGCATTCGTTTGCTAGGGCTGCTATCGTAAAATACCACAGAGTGCTTGGCTCAAACCACAGAAATGGATTGTCTCACAGTTCTGGAGGCGAGAAGTCCAAAACCAAGGTGTCCGCGAGGTTGGTTCCCTCTGAGGGCTGTGGGGGAGAATCTGTCCTATGCCGCTCCCCTAGCTTCTGGTGGTTTGCTGGCCTGCAGCGTCACCCCGATCTGCCATCTTCACATAGTGCCCCTGTGTCCGTGTCCAAATCCCCCTTCTTAAAGGACACCAGGCGGACTGGATTAGGGCCCACCCTACTGCGTTATGACCTCATCTTAACGAATTACATCTGCAACAACCTTATTCTCAAAGAAGGTTACACTGAGATGTGGGGTTAGGACTTCCACAGACAAATTTTTGGAAGACGTAATTCAACCCGTAACAGAGCAGCTTTGTGAAGGATGCCCAAACCTCTGGGGCCCCTTGTGAGAAACTGGAATTCACTCCTGGAGGTCACAGGTCACAGCCCTGCCCATGAAGCTGCTTCCTTCAGCCTTGTAGCTTCCACCTTCCCCCCTTCTTCACTCCACCAGGGGTGCCTAAAAGTATGGCTCCTCCAGCTCTGCAGTCCATGGCTTTGACCTTCATCCCCTTCGTCAGTTATCTTGGGCCGCTGCTTTTCTTCTCTACTCAGACTGGCCCTTTTGGTCGTGAAAGAGCTTCTCTCCACCTCTGCTAATGAGAGTGCAGAGAAAACAAGTCAGGTCCTTCACCAAATAGGAGGCAGTGTGTGGCAGTGAACTTTGAAATTAGTTTCTAGATGAGACTTTGGGAACATCTGTGAAATGTAATTAGTGTTCTCTCCCTGCTCTCCAGCAGCAGAGCCAGTGGTGTGCACTCTGAGCCGCTCCGTAGCCATTGAAGTGGAACGCTGGGGGTGCAGCCAGTGCGAACTCTCGGGTCCTCAGCCTGTAATGAGCAAACTTGTACCCTAGAGTGCGGCGTGTGCCCACACCTGCGTCTGTTGGGACCCAAGCAAGGGTGAAGGGCTTGTCTAGGTCTTATGTCACTGCATCTTTACTACTACATGCTTAGGTCCATATTTGTGTCCCTGTTTTACACGTGAGGAAACTGAGGCACAGACTGGTTATGTAATTTACATCCCCAGACTTGTAAGAGGCAAAATAGAGAGTCAGATCTCTGCCCCTAAGCCAGCTTACCTCGCAGGTGATCCTCATTTCCCCTGCACCACATACCAAAGAGGCCACCTGAAAATACTGTAATGGAGAGCAAGAGGATACTGCCTCATATAGATGTTTTGAGGGGTTTGCTAAGTTGGGGCAGGTGATCACTGCACTTCGGATCGAAAGCTGTTTCATTTTAACACAGATTAGAGGCATTCTATAAGCAATACTCTCTGCCTGTTTTCTATGAATAGAAAAATATAGTGTTACTTTTTTTTTTTTAAGAAAATGCATTTGAGAAAGATTTTCCTTTGGCGGTTTTTCCCTAATACCCATCAGGTCAGTTGAGCTACAAAAACTAGGAAAACATTATTATTATTATTTTTAGATTTATTTATTTGAGAGAGTAAGTGAGAGAGGACACAGCAGGGGAAGGGGAAGGAGGTGGAAAAGCAGACTCCCCGCTGAGCAAGGAGCTCAATCCCAGGACCCCAGGATCATGACCTGATACAAAGGCAGCCGCTTAAAACCGACTGAGCCATCCAGGCGCCCCAAAACTAGAAAAACATTATGTAGGTTAGTTAGTAATGTCAGCTCAGAAAAGAAAGGCCCCGTTTCGAACACAGCGTGTCACAGCACGCGTTGGGTCCTGTGTGAGTATCCTTTGTGTCCCATCACCCTTAGAAGCCCTTCTAACCCTGAAAAATGGCTGGCTTACATTGGCACTGGTGACCCTCGATGGGTTTTAACAAGGACACGAGAAGAAGCATTTCCACTTATTAAAGTTTATTAGATACAAAGAAATGAGTCTGCAGAGGGCACATCAATAAATATAAAATACATATGAAACACGGGGGAGCCACAGACCGTGTCTGTGGAGCGGTAAGAGCGCTGGAACTCGATGCCTCTGCGTGAGTTTATGGTCAAGGGGCTAACGGTCTGTGCTGCCAGAGGCGGGCACCGCCTGAGTTCCGAGGGCGTGAATTCAGTGACAGGTCTCGAGGAGAGATGGGAGGCCAGATTCCTGAGATTTCTAACCTAGTTGCAATTTTTGGTCTCTGCTCATCCCTTCCCTCTGTCCTTGATAGGTTTTATTTTTCATTTCTATCCCAGTGGTGTGGAATGTGAATGCATCAACACCTCATTGGGGCGGCCAGTCTCCTCTGAAGGTGGACTTGCCTTTGTCTTGGGCCTTCTTCATCATGATAATTAAAGCCCTTGTAATTATTTTCCTACAACTGGGAGGGAGATGGAGCGGATCGGTTATAATAAAAAAATCCTGACCTTTTGGAAACCTTCCAGAACCAATAAAACAAATCAGCTATGCTCAGAGCTGATGACCTGCAAAGCTTCTTTTCCAATTGATTTAGCAGTGACAATTTGGGATGATTGATTCCCCAGAGAAGGGCACTTGACCTTGCTCAGTGGCTTCTTTCCAGAATGACAAAGCATGACAGTAATGTGGGATGCCATCCTAGTTTTTACTCTGGACAACAGCTAAGTGTGTGCAGTCACGTTTGCCCAAACCCTCCTAACCGGCTGTTTTGGATGGCTTGGTCCGGGCACGGTGTCCTTCACATCTGAGCACATGAGTGGGTTGTTCCAAAGGACACTTGTTTTTCCGTTGCTCTTCTCGCCACCTCCCCCCCACCCCCAACCTATTTCCTTTCATCTCTACCTATTCTGAGCACAGACCTGGGGGCAGTCTGTTTCCTTCTATTTTCTCTCCTTCCTCTCTTACAGCTTCCCCTCCAAGAACGGGGAGCATTTGGGGTCAGGTGCAAGCAAACACACACTTCCATTTCCTTGCCAGCTCCAGAAAAAGGGTGTGAGAATAGTAGCCAGAGCCCTTCCCGACCAGTTCCATATTTGAGGGAGCTGGCCCTGGGCACTTCTCCCCGACAGAGAAGTGCGCCCCCCATAGGGAAGGGGGAGCTCTCAGACTCCTCAGGTCCTCTTTAGTGCAGAAGGGAGCTAGGTTCGCCTGGTGGGTGCTTCCAGGTTTCCTAAGGGTAGGAGCGAGGCACCAGGTAGGTGAGGCAAATACTTGCTAAAGGGCTTCAGTCTACACTTCCTTGTGTCATATTTACTGTGAAAATCCTGCTCTCCGGGAGGAAGAAAAACAACAATCCATCTCTGAGATAGAATATGTAATTGACTATAATAATGAGTTATGGATGTTTCTAACTTGTAGAAAAAAGTACCCGAATCTCGCCCTACCCTGGCTGCCAGGATGGAGTCGGGAAATTAGGCAGGATGGGAGGAAAGCCACGGGCACGTGGGCACCAGGGGCACTGTAAACAGGAAGGGCCTTGGCTACTTGTAGGAGCATTCAGTTACAAAAGGGCCCTGTGGTTGGCATCGGAGGGGCTGAGCCCACTCTTGCCTTTCTTTTGCATCATATTTACATTAGGCAGCAAAAATAAAATCCCTGTATTGCAAAACAGAAGCGAGACATGACATCTCGTTCACTGGAGGCTGTGTGGCATTGTCTGGGTGTGGGGACACACTACTGTCTCTGAGCTGCATCGTTTATAAGGCATTATTTGGTTTGATTTTGCAGTGTGCGTGATAGAATCATGCCAATAAGAAGCGGCTGTGGGTAGTCTGACTTTGGGACTACTTGCAAACGAAGGAATCTTCTCAAAATGTTTCTGAATCTAGGAAGGGCCAGCCTGCACGCATTATGTACAGTCATGGAATGGACACCATGGGGTGGGGACAGGGCTCTATCTGTACTGACAGATGAATGCCAAGATGCATCTTCAGAAAATGGAGAAACATAATATGGGTGTGGTTTTTTAAATTATGCAAATAAAAGTCGACGGTCATACTGATTTGAAGCCTGTGCAAACCACATATTTACAATAAATAAATGCTCCACTCAGAGCTTGTATGTCAACTGAATTACAACTGAAGTATGGCGAGGCCAGACACGTTCTCCTGGGGATGCCCATCTGGCGATATGGACCCCCAGGTGGCTCACACGACATTGGCTTCATCTGTCTTCTCACCGGAGTGTCTTTAGAGATAACTGTGGAGAGAGAGTAACATTACCGGGGGGGGGGGTTTAGAAGACTCTTCACACACACACAGACAACCCACGCTGGGGCTGGGCACCATAGCCTTCCTGCTCTGATTCATACGAGGCTGCCAGGGTCTGAGGGTCCCATCAGATGCAAGGGGCTGATTTTGACCCAGGGGGTTGTAGGTGGAAAAGGGATGTAATGGGACATAGAGTTGATGGCATCTGACGACCTACCACCATCTTGGAAACATTCATAAGACCAAACACCAGCACTGGACAGAAACTCAAGAAAAACAAAGAACTTGCTGGAGATCCTAAGACAAGGCAAAGGAAAAGAGAAAGGGCCCCAGGCCATCAGATTTCCAGCCCAGGACTCCCACCGGTGCACGGATAACTTGGGGCTCTCTCCACCGTAAAAAAAAGAGTGCCCTGTGGGGGCAGTTTCCGATGTCTAGAACCCTGTGATCTCTCTGGGAGACTGCTTTTTGTCTCACTGACGTGAAAATGAATTAAGAGGGTGTCCAGCTAGATGTAAAGAAGATCTTCTTGACTATGGGATGCCCAAGAGAGACTTTACAGTCCATCCTCGACTAGACTTTTATAGGCTCCGGTGATTTAGGTATGTGCCTGCGATGAGGCCAAAGACCGGACCTGGCACAATGTTCGACCATTCTTGCCACGTCTGAAGGGGAGGATGACTCCTGTCCTGGTAATAGGAACATGCCAGGAAAGCAGAGTGGTATAGTGGAAGGAGCATTGGACAAGAAGTCAGAAGTCGGGGCATGTGACCTTGGGCAAGTTCCTTAACCCCTTGGAGCTCAGTTCTCTTGTCTGAAAAAAAGGTCATTAAAGGTATGTCTCCAGTTTACATCACAGAGTTACTAAAAGGATCAAATGAGATCACATTTGCAAGTTATCTGAAGAAATGTAAAGAACTGTATAATGGAGGGACTACTATTTTGATTATTGCTGTATTTTCCTGACCACGAGAGTCGCATATTTACTACAGAAAATTCAAAAATGGCAGAAATGCACTGGGAAGAAAGTAAAAAAATCAACTCTCATTTCCCAGAGTGGATGCCTGTTAATTTTGTGTACATTCCCCGTTTACTTTAGCCCTATGCATATATACTTCTCCCTTAACTGCAATCAGACAGCCACTTTGGAGCCTGTGACCATCTGAATGGTTATCACAATTCTTAGCTTAGCCGTGGTTAGAAAAGGGGGTGCTTGTCCTCTTGCAAGGAACTCACCCCCACGTCCAGGGCCTTGTCGCCCTTCTCACGTCCCTTGCTGTGCTGTCTCAGGGGGCTGCAGAAGGGCCCAGTTTAACGGCAGGCCACCCCCTTTGCCACATAGAACTCTGAAACAGGAGGAGGCCAGGCTACGACTAAATGCCTGTTTTCAAAGAAACAAAGGGCCTCTAAAGATGAGACGCTGTCGTGGGCAGAGAGCAGTCATCTCTGCCCAGGTTAGGAGACAGTCCATTCAAGCTGCCTTGTGTGAGGAGGGCATTTTTTCAAAGACCGTCTTATCCCAAAAGAACCCGTCTGGTTCCCCTCCCAGCTTTCTCCAGCCACCCGGACTTGAAGCGTGACTACATTTGGCCAAAAGAAATGATCGTGTTGATGGGAGCAAAACCCCCGTGGGAGCAGTAAGATACCCTGTATTCTGCAGACAAGACAGAACCCTGAACTACATTTGGTACACATTACAGAGTCTTGTCTCAGGCCTCTCCAGCCACCATAACCAGGGAAGAACGAGCGGGGAGGGAGTGGGGTGACCGTTGCAGAAGGACTCCAAAGGGCTTCTGGGCAGCCGACCTTGCTTCTGGATGTGGTGGGGATTCTGGGGGAAGCCCCCTCTTCCCTCTTCAGAGTTTGAAACTGTACACGTTTCATTCTAGCTAGAAACAAAGGTACACCAAATGGCTTTCCCTGAGGACAAAAGAATCTGTGCAAAAGATGTAAAGCTTTAAGGAGAAAGCACACTCTCGACATTTCTGGGTTCCCTGAGGAGAACTCCTGCTTTTACGTTCAGAGACCCGAGGGAGGTGTTACCTGAGAATTTCTGCCTTTGATGTCATCCGAGCTCTGCCCTGCTGCCTCAGCGTGGAGCCAGGGACCAGGTGTACGGCCTGAAAGAAACAGGAAAGATCTTGCCATCTATTGGCCCAGGGACTGCTGTGCGCTTCTCGGGAAACTCAGACTCCACCAGCGATTAAATCAACAGCAAAGGGACCAAGGGTAACAGGAGCCGGTCAACCTGAAACCTCCAGGCTCCCAGCCCTCGGCTGAGAGTTTCCACCCACTGCTTCCTTGGCCCAGCCTGGATGCAGAGGCATTTCGTCCAGGCAAGGGATCAGGTTATTATAAAGGCCTGTCATCTACATGCATGTGACAGCTTCTTAGCTCAGAACAAGCCACCATCTCCAGACTTGCTCATTTGTCCAGTACCCCACCCGTGCCAAGCACCGTGCTAGGATTGGTTAAAAAAGGGAGTAAAAGGTAATTATATACTGAATAAATCACGCTCTGTTCTAGGAGCTTGAATTCATTGAGTTCATTCTCTAAAAAAATGTATTTTGCTTAACTATTACACAAGTTCCATACAAATATATTTTCACAGTTAAGGGTTCAAAGAATATAGAAGAAGACAATAGGAAATAAAAACCCAAAACAACCTCAAGTGCCTCGTCTTTGCCTAATCCCAGAGTCACCAGGGCTCGAAGCTTGCTGTTTATCCCTCCAGATTTTTTTTTTTCCTGGCATTTCCTTATATGTGTGTGTATATGCGTCTATGTGGTTTGGTTGGTTTAGTCAAGTTTTAAATCCACATTCCCAGGCATTCCAGAACTTTTCCTGTGGGTCAGGTATGCTGAATGGTGTCCCTCGTGGGTGGACACCATGGCACTACAAGGCTTTTCCGTCCTGCCTCCGTCACGGACCGGGAGTTAAAGAACCACGTCCCAAAGCCCCCCAGACGATCCAGGCTGCCGTGCTCCTTACAGAGCAGCATGAAAAGCAGAACGACTCCTCTCCGATCATTTACAACAGTGAAAGCTGATAATACCCTGCGTTCAACAAAACTATTTAGGAACTCTATATGACAGATTATGAAGGGGCCGCTTGAATGTTTACAAACAAAATAATTTGGGGTGATGTCTGAAACTTAGGAGAAAAAAGCAGGCTAGAAATTGTATAAATAGGATGACCTCAAATACTTAAAAAAATGGAAGTAATACATTGAATGGATTCCTCCTGGATTTATGGGTTTTTTTTTTTTAAGTCTCTTAAAAATACTTTGTACAATGAACATGTTAGTCATCTTAAGAATCTGTTACGGTAAGATACAGCTTTTAAAATGAACTAGCACATAGAAGGGTCTCTACAACTTATAAAACATTAATCCAATGGACACTGAAATTTTCATTAAAATACTTTTTTGGGCAAATGACATAGGGAGTGCTAGATTTTTAGCCAGTTTATTAACTAAGTTAAAAGTAAAAAGTTAAAAGCCTGGGTGGCTCAATTGGTTAAGCGTCTGCCTTCAGCTCAGGTTATGATCTCAGGGTCCTGGGATCAAGTCCTGCATCGGGCTCCCTGCTCAGCGGGGAGCCTGCTTCTCCCTCTGACCCTCACCCCACTCGTGCTCTCTCTCACTCTCTCTGTCAAATTAATAAATAAAATCTTTCTTTTAAGAAAAAGTACAAAGACACTGATATACAGCCCCTGACTTTATGCCATGCCGCAGTATGCCCTTGAAATTACTTCTTAGATGTCAGAAACTCCAGGCTACTACAGAAAAGCCTTCCTCTAGGCCAGGGTTTCTTAACTTGGCTCTACTGACATTGTGGGCTAGATATCCCTTGGTTGTGGGGCTGGCTGTGTGCTGCAGGCTGTGGGACAGCATCCCGGCTCTCTCGCCCCCGGATGCCAGGAGGACCTCCCCCAGCCCCCAGAGCATTTGTAACAACAAAAAAAATGTCTCCAGACATGGCCGGGGAGGGGGGTGCGCAAAATCCTCCCTTTGGAGAACCACGGGGCAATAAGACAGGTTTCTCTGTAGGAAAGTGGTGCCTGCTAGTTTTCATAAATACAACTGGAAACAACAGCAGAGCAAATGGAGAATCAGTTTCTTCATAAAATAGTAAAACGGAGGGAAAATTTTGCATCTTGCTATAAAAGAAATTTCACTGCTGCTAGAAGTGGGTGGCTAGGGGTTAGGGTTACTCAGGGTGCTTCTTTTTTATTTTTAAGATTTTATTTATTTATTTGACAGAGAGAGAGCACACGCAGGGGCAGTGGGCGAGGAAGAGGGAGAAGCAGGCTCTCTGCTGAGCAGGGAGCCTGACACGGAACTCCATCCCAGGACCCTGAGATTGTGACCTGAGTTGAAGGCAGACGCTTAACCAATTGAGCCCCCCAGGCGTCCCCTTTTAATACAAATACTGCCTTAGGGGATTTCTTTTCCCCCCAGCTATGAGATGTCACTAGAATCACTAGAATTCAAAAAAGAGAGCTCTTCTGCTGAAATTGTCCTTTACACGGGCTGTGTTTCCGGAGAAGAGTGTTTAGGTTCACTAAAACACTGGTTTTCAAACTTTTGGCCAACACCCACCTGTACTACGAAATACCGTTTACCTCCCTACCCGCTCCCACGCGCCTAGGACCCTCAGAGCGGCCCGAGTGACCCCAGCTGCGGCCTCCGGCACACGGACGGCCCCGCCGCCCGGTGCTGAGCTGAGCAGCCGGATACGAAAGCCTCCTCTGAACTGCGGGGCTTAGAGAAGGAAGTCTGTGCTGGGACTGAAGGAGCAGAGGCCTGAGGGCCAAGCTGGCTTCCAACTTTATTTTTTGTCATTTGTAAGCCAAGCCAGCCCATGCCTTTATCCAGGCGCAGAGATACTTTCATGTCAGAGGAAAAAAAAAAAAAAAA